TCCACCTTCTACTCCGCCAGATTCGGCTGCCTTGCTAGCGGCCTTCTGCACATCTGGGGAGGATGCGAATGTGGCAAGTCCTCGGTATACTTACGAGGATTATGCTGTCCACTTGGTTCCACCGCTGGACCAACCGCTCCACGTGCAACAGTCCACCGCATGCACGGTTTCATCACCATCGGCAACCGATTCGGCAGCTTTGCCGCAATCTATCGTCGGGGATTCGACGTCATGGTCAAGACTTGATGAGATCGATCCGTTGACGTTCACGGACTTCTAGTGGATGCCCGTTCTCTCGACCGGACGATTTCCGAAACCGCATTGCAACGTGCTTATGGCACAATTGCGGGACTACTTGCACACTGCAGTACCAACTCCGTTGATGGACGCCGGAGCAGAGGTTGTCGACCTTCACGCTTTTATCGCGAAAATCGACCGTGAGTTCAAGACGCAACGGTACGACGACATCGACGCACCATTGCTATACATACGCATTCAGATCGGAGAGGCGACCTGCAATGCCTTGATCGATTGCGGAGCATCTCGCAACTACATCAGCCAGGACTTCATGAAACGCGCCGGCCTTGGCCCACGTGTTTGGAGGAAGTCCCAACCTACACAAGTCACTCTGGCAGACGGTCATACGCACAAGTCCATCGACCGGTGCATTGACGCCGTCACAGTGTACTTTGCCCCCCACGCAAGTGAGGCGGTGTCCTTTGACATTCTGGACACCAAATTCGACATGATCTTGCGCATGTCATGGCTGCGAAGCAAGGATCACCCGGTGAACTTCTTCAACCGCACCGTTCACGTTCATGACCGGAACGGGGTATTAGTTTCATGCACGGTGCCTATTCCTCATCTTTCGATCAACTGCCACGTGGTATCCGCCGCAAGCATGCGAGTTTCCATCATCAGAGATGACATTCAGGAGATGGGGGTGTGTTTTCTCCACGCCCTCCCGCCACATGACGCTTCATCGACGGACTCACCTTCGGATCCACGCATCACTGAACTTCTCGACGCCTACAGCGACATGTTCGAAGGCCCGCACTGAGTAGTACCGGATCGACCCATCCGCCACKAGATCATCCTCGAGGACGGGGTCGTACCTCCGCGCGGTTGCATCTACCGAATGAGCAAGGAAGAGTTAAGTGTGCTTCGGGCACAACTCGACGACCTTTTAGAGAAAGGCTGGATTCGGCCTAGCTCATCGCCATACGGTGATCCTGTTCTCTTCGTCCAGAAGAAGAACAAGGATTTGCGGTTGTGCATCGATTATCGCAAACTCAACGCGCAGACGATCAGGAACGCCGACCCTTTCCCACGCATCGACGACCTTCTCGAGCGATTGGGCGGCGCCCAGTTCTTCTCTAAGTTGGATCTCAAGTCAGGGTACCACYAACTCGAGATTCGCAAGGAGGATCGCTACAAGACCGCGTTCAAGACTCGGTATGGGCATTTCGAATGGCTGGTCATGCCATTTG